CATACACCGTCTCCTTTCAATCAGGCATCGCTGGTGCCTGCGAAAACTAGAAAAACCGTTTTGGATGCATGGAATGGCTATCATAGCCTAACCCTCTCTCCATCGGCAAGAGATGCAACTACCTTCATCACGGAATGGGGTAGATACCGTTATCTTCGGGCACCACAAGGATTCCAAGCGTCAGGAGACGCATATACACGCAGGTTCGACAATATTACTGTAGATATGCCCAGGAAAACAAGATGTATTGACGATACGATACTATGGGACAACTCTATTGAATCATCATTTTGGCATACTATAGAGTACATAAATAACTGCAGCAAAAAATGGTATCGTATTCAACCCCCAGAAATTTCACTTCGCGGAAAAAAGAGGTGGAATTTGCCGGATTCTTGATAACAGAAGACGGGATAAAACCCACCAAAAAATGACTGAAACAATACGGAATTTCCCGACACCAAAAAATATAACTGACATAAGATCCTGGTTTGGAATGGTAAACCAGGTAGCCTACGCTTTTTCTCAGGCCGAGGTAATGGCCCCGTTCCGGGAGCTGCTAAAGACAAAAAATCGGAAGTTCTACTGGGACAGCACACTCGATCGAATCTTCGAAGAGTCGAAAAGAAGGATCACAGAAGAAATCGAGAACGGTGTAAGAACCTTCGAAGTGAATAGGCCAACTTGTTTGTCGACGGACTTCAGCAAAACAGGCTTAGGATATTTTCTTTTCCAGAAGCACTGCAACTGTGCCACCGAAGCTGGACCGAAGTGTGGTGAGGACCACTGGAAGTTAATCCTGGCCGGCTCCCGATTCACTAATGACGCAGAGTCCCGATATGCACCAGTGGAAGGAGAAGCATTGGCATTAGTCTACGGACTGGAAGCATGCCGGATGTTCGTTTTGGGGTGCCCAGAGCTGTTAGTCACCGTGGACCATAAGCCCCTGGTGAAGATCTTCTCGGACAAAGCTCTGGAGGACATAAAGAACCCAAGACTGTTTAACTTCAAAGAACGGTCCTTGATGTACAAATTTCGAATAAAGCATCTCCCTGGCAAACTCAATGCGGCACCAGACTGTACATCGAGATGCCCAGTGGCGTTAAGCCAGGAGGAAGCAAACGAAGAGGACACCGCACAAACTATGGATAGCGCCATAAGAGCGTCATTTAACTCCACCTATGAGCAGGACCCTAAATTAAGAGCAATAACATGGGACAGGATTGTGGCTGCAGCTGCTACTGACGAGGAATGCCGTTCCCTCGCCGAATTCATACAAAATGGCTTCCCTAAATCTCGGCACGAACTGCCGGAGACAATTCGCCGGTTTTGGCATATGAAAGAGGAGTTATATTGCTTGGAAGGGGTGACGATAATGGAAAATAAAATCCTCATACCCAGAAAGCTACGTGCGGAGGTACTGGAATCGCTCCATTCAGCGCATCAGGGCGTCAATGGAATGTTGGCAAACGCTAGACAGCGGCTGTTTTGGCCAGGACTGGACGCGAGCATTCGTCAAACCCGGGCCCAGTGCAAAGTATGCAACGTAATAGCTCCATCACAACCCAAGGAACCCCTAATGCCGCCCTCGAACCCCGAGTTCCCATTTCAGAAGACTGTGACGGACTTCTTCGATTTACGAGGGAAGAACTATCTAGTATATGCAGATAGATACACCGGATGGGTAGAAGTCACTCTGATGTCGTCCGGGAATGCCAAGGCTACATGTGACGCCCTACGAAACTGGTTCTGCACGTATGGCGTACCGGAGGAACTTTCAACCGATGGCGGACCACCGTTTGACTCCAGTGAATTTAACCGGTTCCTAGATAATTGGGGCATAAGGAAACGAACATCATCGGCATATTACCCTCAAAGCAACGGGAGAGCAGAACTAGCAGTTAAAACGGCTAAAAAGGATACTTGTTGATAGCACGGACAGTTGCGGTCGCCTATGCCATGACCAGGCAGCTAGGTCCCTACTGACTCATCGCAACACCCCGGTACGAGACCTACATATGTCTCCAGCGATGATGCTCTACGGTCGCGTGATAAAGGACCATCTCCCAGTGCTCCAGGACCGATATCGAATCCACAAACGCTGGAGAGAAATCAGTCATTATAGGGAAACAGCGATGGCAAAAAGACACTTAAGGAATGAAAGAGAATACAATCTAAAAAGTCACCCACTTCAGGAACTGAAAATCGGGGAAACGGTGCAGATACAGAACCAAGTTGGTCCATACCCGCGCCGATGGGCAAAGACAGGAAGGGTGGTGGAAACACTGGGTAACCGGCAGTATAATGTACGCATGGATGGGAGTAACCGGGTAACCCGTCGCAATCGCAGATTCCTCCGAAAAATAAACCCAGTAGTAGATACTCCTTGCCACTCGATACCTCAGGTGCCCCCAGGAATGTTGGATACCATAGACAACCCAACAGGGCCCGAAATACCGGGAGAATGGTCCACCACTGATATGGATCAAAACCAGCCCGAAACAATCGACACTCTACCAGAACCGATGGAGGTAGATGACACAGCATCCCCTGGAATGATGGAGGTTGAGGAAGACCAACCGGTGCGTCGTAGCAGAAGGGTGACGCGACCACCCAGGAACCTATCCCCACAGACGTGGGGCACGTCGCACGACTACTCCAGAGCCTCAAAACATTGGACCACAACGCGAGTATCTTGTGGCCCCGGAAGGGAGGGGGCGTGTAGAGGTGGAATCGAACCTAAGACGCCCAGTTACAAGACCGGAATGGTCTTGGCGTCACACCCCCATAGAAGTAGACTCGCCCGCTTACACGAGAGGCGAGAGTGGGCTACTTAAACAAGACATTTACGGCAACGAGTATCGAGGCAGATACACGTCGTCTCGCTGCTACCTTACAATACACAGTTAATGTTGCTATCAAACAAATCAAATTTAGATAAAACTTCATTAACCTTTTTTCAAATTATTATTAATAAAAAAGTTAATAATCTTAAATTAAGATATATTTAAACATATTTAATCATTTTTTCAAGCAAAAAACTATAGCGAGCCTTACTTCTTCGAAAAATAATTATTTACTATTTATTTTGGAGGGGAATCAAATTTTTTTAAGTAAATAAAGTTCTACTTCTAATCTTTAATTACTGACTATTTTAAAAGCGAGTAGAAGCAAGATACATTGGGAATTTAGTTTTGAAAAGCGATTATGTTTAAATTTCAGGTGATATTTGTATTTCAAAAAAAGAAAAAAAATTTAATTAAATAAAAATTAGCAGAGACAGATATTACTTACGGCCAACAGTGGTGTGGGATGTTTGTTTTACGAATTTAATATTTTATTTAAATTGATTTTCGAAAAAATAAGGCTCGCTAATAGTTTTTTGCTTTAACAAAACTTAATTGAAAATTATTTACTTTTTTTATGTTAGTTACAAACAAAAAAATAATAACTTTTTTTTAAAGATTGAATAAAAAATTATTTTCCATAAGATGGCCGAAAAATATTGTGTGAGCGCATATTGTTGTCAATGGCACCTTATAGCATCTGGAAAATCAACGTAACAACCAGAAGCTAGCCAACTTACTTCAGCGTTCTGCCAACAATATCCGAGATTTGCAACAAGGTTTGCAGATCATCATCTGGACTGTGAGCGCACATGGTGGTACAGGAGAGTTGTCGGGCATGCAAATCCAATCTACCCAATCAAGGTCGCACAGTTTCTGCTATATATATTGATACCCATGAAATTGAATGCTGGCTTCCTGAGTCATCTTCGGGGTCATGGACACTAAAACGATACGGAAGCCATCGCAAGTGATGCGAGGAGTGAAGGGCGGCTCTCATCTGAGTAAGATATGGCAATCAGCATGTATGGGCGTATTTATGCATGCATGTACAGTCAACGACGAAATTATTGGTACACCCATCAATTTTGAATATTTTTATCTTTTTCACAGAATCTAATGCTCGTGTGATGCCAAGTTTTTACATAAGCACAAAAAGGAATATAAAATTAAATTTTCAGAACAATAGGTTAAATACAACAAATTTAACAGGCGAATTGTGCATAATAGGAAAAGACAAAATTATTTGAATGCTATGGAAAATTTATGGCAAGTATTAAAAGTTCTAATAAATCGTCAGTCACCAAAAAACCTTCAGGAATTAGAACGTGTAAGCATTGAAGAATGGAATAAAATCCCAGAAAAGACTTGTTCAAATCTCAACAAAAACTTTAGAAAACGATTGCAGCAAGTTATAAAAATGAGAGGCCATACTTTTGATTATTAATATTGTGAAAATTGTTCAATTCTTTCTATTTATCATACAGTACCAATAATTTTGTTTTTTCCTATTTTGCATAATTTGCCTGTTGAATTTGTTGTAGTTAGCCTATTGCTCTGAAAATTGAGTTTTATTTTCCTTTTTTGTGCATAGTAACATATAAAAAACTGGAATCATACGGGCATTAGATTCTGCGAAATGGATGAAAATATTCAAAATGGATGAGGGTACGAATAATTTCGTCGTTGACTTTATATATCACTTTTTTATTGTGGACATCACATGTTTACCTTATGTTGTATGTACTTGTTTTTAATTCTGGAAATGTTAGCGTAATTTAACAGTTACAAATGATGCCACTTTGAATCAGATTAAAATCTCAAGTAAATAATGAAAAATATGTTTCTGACGAGCTACATTCTCTAGTTCCACATATTCAGGCATTTACAGATAAGAACCACCTTGTCACATACACAGAAGCCAATTGCCCTCAATCCGTATTCCATTGGTGATAGGTAAGTTCCATTCGGAGAGTTTCTTCACAAGGGCCATCTTAAATGCTTTAAGTTCTGGGTCAACCGTTATCTATCCTACATATCCTCATAACATACAATTCTGATATTCATAAAAGAGCTACATTCGCCCACCCTATACCTTTAGTGAATTTTGGGCCTGGTATTGGGTGAACAATAGCGAAAAAATATATACATTAGACTTTTACAGGATAATACTTTCTTTCTTTCCTTCTAATACTGTTCATATCTATCTATCTATCTATCTATCTATCTATCTATCTATCTATCTATCTATCTCAGACCGTTTATATCTATCTCAGACTGTATCTATCTATCTTTTTCAGTCTCTATCTATCTATCTATCTATCTATCTATCTATCTATCTATCTATCTATCTATCTATCTATCTCAGACCGTTTATATCTATCTCAGACTGTTTGTATCTATCTATTTTGTTCAGTCTATCTATCTATCTATCTATCATCTCAGATCATCTCAGCCTCAGTATGAAAGTCACGCGGACATCAAACACAATACGTTTTGTTCTTAAATGTTTACCATGTTTTCTCTCTCTCTCTCTCCTCACTAACGCATGCGCGCGTCCACTGTGCATGGACACCTCAACACACGTGCACGTGTTGCTTTGCCATTTTTCCTCTGTTTTATACACTTTTGTTTCGCCTCTATTTCTTACCGCCTTGTTTAGCGGGCGCCATAATCAAACAGTCGGCATGTCGTTGGCAGGGAGACGCGGCTCTTGGAGTCGAATCAATAAACACCGTCACAACGTGTAAAACAGGGAATAGAACTCAAGTAACTTAAAATAATGATAACAATAAGAAGAAGAACAATAACGCCACAACGTGAACACAGACAATAGAGACAGTATTAAGAAGTCATCCGACAAATGTCCATTTTATACCTGAGCGCTAATGAGGGCGAAAGATCCTACGACAGGTGAGAGAAAAAAAAGTAACTCGTCGATGTTACAACGATACGACCATCAGGGCCAGACGATAGGAAGCTTTTCAAGTATAGTTGTTAAGAAAAAAAAATAAATTAATGCGACTTGTTTTGTTAATAGACGGGTGTTCGGTATTTTGCAAGTACCGAGAAGGCTAAATGCTTCTTTCAAATGATTGTGAATCAGTTATAAGAAAAAAAAATTGTTTTTGCGGAATTAGCTTCGACAATCGATTTTACACTTGTCTTTTAAATTTTAGTTTCAGATTGGTTTAAATTTTGTCACTTTTTACATCGGCCGGTTCTCAAACGAGAAAGGATACTTACATGTGCCTATTTTCATTGTGGTAAGTATCACGTTTTTAATACCGCAACTACAACATTAGCAATACTAATACCAAGAAATAACAACAACAACAACATTAATAATAATTTCACATCAAAATATTGAGTTGCTCTCACTGCAGATCAAGTGGCAACAAGACACCTTAAAATTATAACACCGTCTTCAGACTTCTTGCCAATTTCAATTCTTATTTGGATTACTAATTCTTGCATTTTTTCGAGTCTTCGGGTCTATTCCAATAATAATAATAATAATAATAATTATATTATTATTATTATTATTATTATTATTATTTGTGTATGTTATGTTTCCTGTTTGTATCCTATAGAGCCGGGTCCAAACTATGGTCCTTAGGCACTTAATTGATAGCACTTTTCTTAGTATGGGTGTAGGGCGATCTTCTGGGAAGTTTGTCAGAAAAAAAAACTGGGAGACTGTTAGTAAAATTGTATATTCCTTTTCTCATGAAGCCCAAAGCTCCGATTACTATTGGTACAGTATCAGTTTTCATTCCCTCCTACATCCTGTTAATCTCGATCTGCATATCCTTGTATTTGGACAATTTCTTTTATTATTATTATTATTATTGTTATTATTATATTTCTTTTGATTTCAGTTATATATTCATTTCCTTCCGGGTCCCAACCAGAGACCTAAGGTCAGAAATAGCATCATGACATTTTCCATTGAGAATTATTTTTTTTAAATACTCCCCAAACAAAAATATCCCAAGATCACACAGATTTTACATGGATAATGCTCTCCGTAATGTGAGTACAATTTTTTTTGTATTTCTTTAAGGTATGGGCTACCAGGGATCCGTTCAGTGCGCCTATTTGGACATTTTCCAATCAATTCGAGGGCTCCAATTAGAATTATTAATGTCCTTGCATTTAGTTTTTTGAAGATTTTCAAAGATATATTACAATCTGCAGTATTATTATTATTGTCATTATTATTATTATTATTAATAGTAGTAGTAGAAGTAAGGATTCGATCATTATTCTCTGGCGATATGTTTCTTTATATTCATCAGTAATATGGCTCTCCACAACTTCCTGACTTGCTATTCGAAGTAATTATCTCTCCTCTGTGATGCTCGTTCTGGCGTCCATTTATTCAAATTTGTCAAGTCGGTTATTCGCTATTTTCTCTCTAATTCTCTTGCTTTCAGTGTGTATTGTGAGCGTTAAATTTTCCAAGCCTTCTTTCCTCATTCTTTTATCATATATTTCAGCTGTCTCTTTGTGATTGTTAGCGACAGTTTCTTTGTAGTTCCTATTCTCCTTAACATGTCTCCTGTTTCTCACAGCGTCACAAGTATTCTGGACATTCGCCAGTACCAACAGCAATGTTTATCAGTGCTAATATTACTGCTTATACGAGAAGACCGTTAATAATAGGAAATAGCTGAAGAGAAGGAGGAGAAAAAGGAGGAGGAGGATAAACGCAAAGAAACTATTAACGTGCTTCTTTTTCTTCTTATTATTATTATTATGGTGTCACACCATGACGTAATAAATGGAAAATCTGTTCTTGGGGCATAGTGATATTGTAATCGTAGCTTAGATATGGCGCAAGATTGAAAGTTTGGAGCATCCATTGAGGCTCGAACTCACTACTTAATTGCTGTTGTTCTAACGGCACAAGCTTTCTAACCATTACACCATGTCGAGGTGCTCCTGTTCATGAGGAATGGTATCATCAAGACTTCTTACAATTCAAGAACTTTTTGGAGAGTAAAAGATGGCAGTTTTCTGAAGGTCTACAATCTTGATCTCAATTTTAATTCTTCTTAACTCTAGAACACTAACCATGGGTATATAGTACCTAGCGCAAATTTCCCTATTTTTAATTACAATTTTCAGTACTTGATTTTCTTACCTAAATAATATGTTTTTAGTTTCTATTAATCTTAACTCAAAGTACTAAGTTTGAAATGCCTACGTGTAAAATATTTCAAATAAAGATTTATATTTAATATATTTTTTTATATTTTCAAAATCAGGTATGATATACCCATGCTTAGTAGTGATGTAACTTTAATTGATGGTTAGTGTTCTAGGGTTAAATACTTTTTCAGTTTTTTAAGTGGTGTTCCAAACGCAATCATTACTACAGCAATTAGTTCCACATTCATGTCTCATAGGTTCTCCAGCTCCTTAGCGAGATCCAGGTATTTTCCTATCCTATCAGTTATTATTCTTTCCTTTGATTTTTGTTGTATACACATTTCCTTCCGGGTCCCAACCAGAGACCTATGGTCAGAAATGGCATAATAACATTTTCCACTGAGCAGTTTTCTAAAAAACACTCACACACAAAAAAAAGCAAAAAAAAAACAAAACAAAAAAAAAAAAAAAAACCTAAGATCACACATTTTACATTATCTATGTAAAATGTGATCTTAGGAATTTTTTAATATTTCACATTACAAAGATCTTTATCTTTGTAATGTGTGAGCATACTTGTGAGTACAACTTTTTGTATATGTTTAGGCAACGAGTCTATGAGAACCTTTTCCATATCAAAATATTGGTTAGCTCTCGCTGGAGATCAAGTGACAACAAGATATCTCAAAACTCTAACACAGTCTTCAGACTTCTTATCAATTTCAGTTTTATTCGGATTACTAATTCTTGCATTGTTTTTGTTCAATCAATTCGAGGGCTCCAACTACAACTGGAATTATTGATGTCCTCATGTGCCACATTTTTTAGATTTCCACTTCAAGATCTTTGTATTTTACTAGTTTTTTTTTAAGATCTTCTAAGATACATTACACTTTGCAGCGACTGCCATGTCAATAAGAAAGCCCATTCTGTTCTTGTGGTCTTTTATCACGATGTCTGGGTGATTAGATTTTATTTTTTTTTTTGTGTGTGTATTGTAAAGTCCCATAAAATTGCCACAGCTCCAATCTCTGTAACCAAGTCTGGTTGATGTTCATACCAATTTCTTACAGTTTCCTCCCCATAAAAGTTGCATATTCCCAGTGCAGATATTGGGCCACTCTATCATGCCGTGTTTTATATTCTTTAAATTCTAGCACCGTACAGCCTTATACAAGATAGTCAATTATTATTATTATCTATATAAATTATGTGACTTCTGTTAATCCATCCGTCATACCCTCTAAAATAGCCATACATTGACCAATCAAAACCAAATTCTGGGAAAATGTGCAAACAAGTAAGAGGATACAAAATACAGTTGGTTTTACTAGGGTGCGTAGCTTAGTACAATAAATTTTAATTAATTTCTTTGGAAAAGTTATTGTTTAACATACAAAATATTCCCACTATTTAAAAAAAAAACTATTTAATGATTTAAATTACAAATACTTATTTAATCAAAATGCAATATTGTGTTTTGCACATCTCTTTTAAGTTTTTATATATAAGAATTCAGTTTCCAGATCACCCTGACTTTGTGAGAACCATAAACAATTCACATGGCCAAACGCTTGAAATAGTTGAAATTTTGCTCCAGAAAGAAATATTTACGCATGGCCAGTTGTATGTTGCAACTCAAGAGTAAGAAATCCTAAGAATTTATTCTTCGCTGTTAAAAAGGAAAAAAAAAAAGGAATTTTCCTTAAAAATTTATGGCTTACCATGAAGTCCTATAAAATTAAATTAAAATAAAGAAATTATTAAACCGTGAAGTAGGATTTGTCAAAGTATCTTTCCAAGCGAATCAACTTATTCGAATTTCATCGATTCGTTTGCGAAACGTAGAGTTTATAAATCTCAACAAAAGATGATAGCGATAACTTCAAGAATATTAAATACTGCGAGGATTTCAACAAGCGTCAGTGGTTTGCAAAAAAAATTCTAGTTATTATATAAGCGAATCCATTACATTCATTTACGTGCTAATACTCTTGGGAAAGGTATGAATCATCTTCTTTTCCCTCAACTATGGGTAAATAGAACAGACTGGGTTCTATAGCCTTGGATGGCAACTGGTCTACCACAGAAAGAAATAGCAAAATAGAAAAAATCTGCCTCGACAGTCATGTATCGAAAGACACATGATCGGTTAAGCGTGCATCACGTATGGCACATAGCTGACGGACAGACGTGCAGTAATGTATAGCAGCTCGTACTGAGGAATCGGAGAGCCGAGTTCGAATTCCAGTCGAATACATTACATTCACTTACGTGCTAATACTCTTGGGAAAGGTATTAATCCTCTTCTTTTCCCCAACTTTGTGTAAATAGCATGACAAAACGGGTTCTATAGCCTTGGATGGCAACTGGTCTACCGCAGAAAGAAATAGCAACCTACTGCGGGAAAATAATCTGCCTCGTCAGTTATGTATTGAAAGACACATGATCGCCTAAGCGTGGATCACGCATGGCACATAACTGACTGAGTAACGATGAAAAAAAATGAGGCTGAAAATATTGAACATATTTCTGATCAACTTATAGTGATTTCTGATGAATCCTAGATGATATTGATGACGACGATTATGAT